TCTATATCAGGGCATGCTCCAACTGTTAACTCATGGTTTGTGGGAAGAAACTCCTTAAATGGACAAGTTTTTTTCCATAATTGTGTATTACTGGGTTTCTTGCTGCTTCCTTTGAAACACTTGATATTGGTCACTGTCAGAGACAGGATACAGGAGTAGTAGACATTCTGTTGGCCTGATCAGTATAGCAGTGTCTATGACTGGTGTCCAAAAGGTTTAGCTCCCCAGCACCCATTTTGTCCTTCCCTTCTCTCTCCTCAAAAAGTCTTTGAGAACAAAAGGGCCTTGCAGCATGGCCTGATAGTCAATACGTTTTGTTTTTGGCAAAATGAAGCAGGAAGCAAAGTTTACAGTCAAGGGATTTTAACTCAGAATGCCCCATCTACAGCATCCTCACAGTTAAATCTGTGGGGTTGTAATCTGTAGTGCCTCAAAAGATCTGGCTTTATAGGTTAAAACCAGCACATTCTAATTACATTTGGAAATTAATAGGAAGCCACGGCAAGTTGGGGAGGGATAGCTCAGTGGTTTGAGCATTGGCCTGCTAAAGCCAGGGTTGTGAGTTCAATCCTTAAGGAGGCCATTTAGGGATCTGGGGCAAAAATCTGTCTGGGGAGTGGTTCTGCTTTGAGCAGGGGGTTGGACTAGATGACCTCCTGAGGTCCCTTCCAACCCTGACGTTCTATGATTCTAAGTTGCAGAGCACAGGAATATTGTGCTTCCTGCAAGAGATACTTTCTAACAAACTGTCTGCTGTATTCTGCACCAACTGTATTTAAATGTGATAGGAAACAATTGTCTTTCTTTTATGTCCTGATCCGAATTTATCTGAGGAGTTTAAAGAATGGTTTGAATAGAGAAAAAAGCCCGTGGTGTAAGAGGTGTCTTACATTAAAGATCCTTGTAAGTGGGAGAAGGATGTTTGACTCACGTGAGTCAGTATAAAACTCTTAACACTTTTTGGTAGTTTTTCCTGGTTAATGTCTTCCATACACATTTTAAAATTGGTAAATATATTTATTGAAAACTGGTTGTAATATATGGTTATAGAAAAAAAATAGACAATAGTTTATTTCTGGTATATGAAATATACGAGTCTGTTTACTCTGTATGTTTGGGAAAATAGGTTTTCTATCAGTCCTCTTATTCTAAGAGCTCTCTGAGACACTAATGGCTTAATTCAATTTAATTTAGAACAGAGGACATGGCTAACTCTTGTTGGACCTAATAAAATGTGGAAACTTTTTTGTGTTTACCTTCTATTCAAAATTAATAAGGATATCATTTTGCATATGATCTGATCCTGTAACAAAGTGCAAGACTTCTGGGGAAAATCTTCCATTGGTCAATATTTTGTGTAATAGAAATTTTTCATGGTCAGCTGAATTGTTTCATAATAATAAATTAATAGTCATCTCTCTTTTGTTAAACCATGGTTAGCTATATTGCAGAATGCTGAGTGGGTGTTGCAGTACTTGCAGTCCAAACCTGGGTTTAAGGACCTGGAAGTGAAATTTACTGCTGGGGATGGAGGGGAAGGGGAGGAGGAATACTGTACTGACTCACTGAAGCACTTACAGTGAAATGAAACCTTTTCAGGATTTTATTAAGCAATATATTTAAATAAAATATTTTTTCTGATTGAATTCACTGCCTAATGGAAGGGTTGATTTTTATTTTATTTTTTTTAACATGTACTATATATGGTTATTGATGTTTGTGGGATTGGTTGTTGGGATGTCTTCAACAAAGTAATTGAAATACAGGTTTTCCTTTACAATTGTAAAAGTGGCTTGATTTAAGCAACTTAATATTTTTAGTTCATTTTGTAATAAAACACTTGAAACCCCAACCTCAGTCCTATGGCACGTACAGCATAGGATCATGGAATCATACATTGTTGTTTATGTCCTGCTCGTTTTCCCATGATATCCTCACCTTGTGAAAATTCCAGACTACCAGTGTTATGGTGTCATCTACCGGGAAGCAAAGAACAATGAAAAGCAAAGTGTATAAAAGCAGACTCTAATCCTCAGTCCTTTAGTTTTTCTTTGCTGCTTCCTTCCTGGAATCATGGAATTCATTTTTCCACTCTTTTAAATTCAGTTCCTCCTTTTCCTTTAGTGATTTGTGAAAAACATTAGGAGATGACCACAAGAGAAGAGACCAGACTAAATATGGTCTCTTGATCCTACTTTGATTGTACAGGTTTCTAGTGCCTCAGCAATCTTGGAGAAACATCACAGTCCGATGCTTCCTATGTTAATTGTGCAGGCTCTCCTTGCAGGAAAATTTTTGTGGAGAACCCTTTAGAGGAACATATAACTCTTGTACTCCCATTCTTTAAAGGAAAAAGGGCTCTACCACAGTTCTTTATTCCTTCTGCCCTATTGATTTGATTGCAGCTGGTCAGTCTTAGTGATGTCTAGTTCTGGTGCTGTTTTTGGGTCCAGTGCTGCTTTGGCTTTAGCTCTCCCCCAGTCTTTGCTGCTTGACTGCAGGTGCCCGCTGACCCTGTGTCAGAACAGAATGTGTGGTGATATGCACATCTGGCGTTCTCTTGCACATAAAATGGCTCCTTTTGTAAGATTGCTTGTCTCAGGCCTCTCAGTTCAATCTACCTTCTAGACACCTTGCCCCTGATTGGGAGCAGCTTTCTTTACACCACTGAGTCGTTACTGTCAATGCAGGGAGTTTCCCTATGCTGTATTTCCAGGAAAAGTGTTGCAGTTTCTTCAACAATATTGCAGCAAGATACATTCTTGGATGTTAAATTTCTTAATTTGTTATGACAATGAGGTTTACGCTTATGTCAGTATGTGTTCCCCTCCCCTCCGTCCCCTTTTAGGCTCTTAGAAGATAGGTATTTAGGACTTCATGACAAAGAAACTTCTTCCCACCTCCTTGTTTTGTTTGATTTAAAAATCCTTGAGAACTGAACTCATGAATGGGGACCTTGAGAACTCATGCATCTTCTCCCTACAACCAAAAAGTTTATTTTTCCACTTAACGTCTTCTTGCTGGGAGGCCCTCTCTAATATTCAGATATGGATGAATGGATTCTCTTTGCAGCATTCCATCCATCTAGCCCTTCCTTTGAGCAGAAGGAAAATATCCCATTTCTCTTTCTTCTTTCTGTGTAAGGGGCTCATTGAATAATGGAGTGTTGCACGTTAAGGAAGCTGCTCAGCTAAATCTGGGATGGGATTTTAGTATCGGTCACTGAAAGGGTGAAGATTAGTTTATTTTCCCCCGCAGAAGGGGTGATTCAGGCACTGCTGTTTACCCTTCATCACAGTACAAAAGTAAGAAGAACCTCAGTGAAACCGAAAGGCAATAAACCGATAAAAAGTGTGTTTTTATATAACACTCATCCTGTGTAACTCATTGCCACAAGATAATCATTAAGTTTAAGAGCTTTGTAGACTTCAAGAAAAAGATAAGACACACATTTTAATGAGAACATTGGCAATTACATAAGATATATTTTGTAAAGTTTGGAAGAGAGATAAACTCAAGGATTTAAGTCAACTTTTAACTGAGGGGGGTTAGGAAGGAAGGATTCATATGCGCAGGTAATTCCATAATTTCCCATGTCAGAGTTTCTTGCACCTGCTTCTGAAGCAGCTGCTACTGGCAGTTAGCAGACGGGCTACTGAAATAGATGGCCACTACTCTGATCCAGTATGGCAGTCCATTTGGTTAATTCCTGGCGTGACAAAGCCACCTTACTTGATAACACTGGCTTCTTCTGGTGAGCAATCAGCCATTCTCTTAAGATGACTTCCAACGAACACAAGCCCAGCTTGACTTAGGTTAGTCACACACGCAACAGTAAGCAGTTAGAGGAACTGAGACAAAGGGTATGTCTACACTACAGGATTAATCCGAATTTAGATAATTCGAATTTGGGAAACAGGTTGTATAAATTCGATTGTGCGCGGCCACACTAAGCACCTTAATTCGGTTTTAAACCACATTAATTCGGTGGTGTGCGGCCACACTACCCCATTAACTTAAACACAGTAATTCGGTGGTGTGCGTCCACACTAACCCTAATTCGAATTAACAAAATCGATTTAGGCTCTACTCCGTTCGTCGAGGTGGAGTACAGAAATCGATTTAAAGGGCCCTTTAATTCGAATTAACTGGCTCTGTAGTGTGGACGGGTGAAGGGTTAATTCGGATTAAGGCAGCTAAATCCGAATTAAAGTCCTAGTGTAGACCAGGCCAAAGTGGATAATTCTGCTTTTTTTTAAAAGGTCCAGAGGTATATAGTTCATTTCTTGTAGGAACTCCAGGGAAGAAGGCAAGACCATGTAAGATAAGGCATTAGTAGAAACTAAGGAGCTGAAACAATATAGATTTTGGTTGTTCTCTGTGTTTTTGAAAAAAGTAACCTATGTTTATTTTTCTTCTATTTTATTTTCCTGTCATATGACTACCACTGGCACACACAAGTGTGTGGCTCCTGACCTCTCTCCATCAGGAAGAAAGGTGTCAGAAGTGATTCTGCATCAAGTTCTGCTCCTTTTACACCTGGCAGGCAGGTTGTCCAGTTTGCTTCCTGCTTTACTTCAAACAGGAGCTGGAGCCTCTGCCTGCGAAAACATCTTGGCCTGTTTTGTCATATAAGACTGAGCTTTTTATGAAGGAGAAAAATGAAACTAAAGAATCTTGTCAGGAAATTTAAATCCTGTTTGGATGGCAATGTTTGTTACCTTTGCTGTTACCGAAGGATTGTGAAGTAACTGATGGAGTCAGGGAGTAAGTGTGGGAGTTGTATTTAAGTGTATATTGTGTATTTTTAAAGAGATTATCAAGGATGCCCACAGCCTCGGATTGGGAGCTCTTTAGTTGTAGAGTAGATGCAAACTAATTTGAGGTATTATGCTTTTAAAATGCTAATAATATAAACTATCTTCTCATAAAACTTTCCTGCTGTCTTTACTGTGTAATGATACTGTACTTCAATTTTATTCTATTTTAAAAAACTACAGATTCAGAAGCCACCAAAACACTGAAGAAAAGTTCACCGAAAGACAGAAGAACCAGAAAGAGAGTCCAGAAGTAGAAGAACTAGAATAATGTGCTCCTCTTCTTTGCTTCGCTTTGTTTGGCTAATGTAATGCTGGAATCTTTGCTTCTCTTTTTAATGTTTATTTTTAGAGGATTTGAAAAATGGCTATGCTGCAGTTTGTACCTTGTTTGGAAGAATAAATGTTTTATTAAAGTGTATTTGTGTACTCCATGTACAAAAATACTATCCATAAATGCAGAAGTTTTCAAGTTTTGAAGTGAGGTTGTTTTTAGTATTTGCATATTTTTTATGCTTTTGAAGGAACCTGAAGAGAAAATTGTGCCTCTTTTGCTCCTTTATGATGTAGCAAGAAAACCTGAAACTGTATTCAAATGATTTTTTTTCTCTCCTTGTTGTTACCTTAAAAATAGCAATGTCACATCTGGTCTTCCCTGTTTTTGCATGAAGACTTTTTGGAGGCATGAAATATGGACATAGCATTAACTGGAGGGGAGGGAAAGGGATTTTTGATCATTGCATAGACATCTCTTCAGGTATTTCTCAAGTGTTTGAATTAAATAATATAGATGAGTTTTACTTAATCAAGTTTCATTTGAACGGTATTTGTCTTTCCATCAGTTCTCCAGTTATTCATTGTCTTCCAGGAGGGTGAGTAGGCAAGACCAGAATTTCTGTAACCTCCCCTGCTCCCAGTAACCAAACACACCTCAGGCTTTCTTTTTATATCATAGGGAAACAAGAAAGGGTACAAATTCAATTTTTTCTCTACTTGGACACCTTTTTCTAATAAAAACGTGGGTCTCATACTTTTCACATCAGAATGATGCTTTACCTTTGCTTACAGGTGAGATGACATTCTCATTTGAAATTCCAATTTTTTTAAAAAGCACTACTCTTATGCTGAACTTCCTCATGGTAATTCTTGGCCCAACAGGCATTTTTTGGAAAAATTGAATAAATGGGTATGCTCCATACTGAAAATTAACACTTTTTTGCACTTAGGCAATTCAAAAAAGTCCTCTTAATTTGGCCTGGACATAGTTCTCAAGAAGGAAATGGTGGTGTGATAAACTGCTTAAGTAGTAGTTATGAACAAATGAAAAACCATACTGTACATTGCCAATTTATTCTTGCTGATTTAAATGCTTGTATAAAGTAGTTATCCAGGTATCCCACACACTGAAATAAATGGGTATGTTAACACACAAAGTGCAAAGTGTTCATTGATTAGGTGATGCACCAGATTTTCTTCTAAAACAAGGAAATTAATGTTTAAAATAAAATTTTTAAATAGACCAGTGGAAGAACACCTACTGCCTTCTCACTTCTGGCATTATCAATGCGTGAAGGAGGAAATAAACATGAGGCTTTCCTAGGACTCTGCTGTGCATAGGGATTATGGAAATACGGCTAGATATTTCCAAGTATAGTACCACCATGTGCTAATACTTTGGCTACCTCAGATTTTACCCCTCAATGTCTGTCTAGTGAGCTTCTTTCCAGAAGTGAAGGTAAGAGGCTATGGCAGCCTTTACATTTCAATCTTTTTTCCAATTAAAGTTTGCTATCAAAAGTTAAAGTGAAAGCTAAAGTAATAATTCAAAAGCATAGCACTCAAAAATCCCCCCAGAGAAATATTACAGGCAAGCAAATATAAATTATAATATCTGAATGTGCAAAGCTAGCTTTATTCATGCGTTTGTTCTTTATTGATTATTGAACATTTTAAAAAATTGAATGAAACACTTGTGAACTTTACTGGTATGCCAGATCTCTCTTCCATACTTTCCCAGTGGTCAAGACCTGTGCTTCCATTTGATAACAACCAAGACCAAACTTACATTTACAAAGACATTTTTATGAAGATATTTTAGTTTGTGCTAATTTCTTGGTAACAAGAAAGAATGGTTTCTGAGGTGAGGTGGTTATTTCAAAGTGTTCTAGGAAGTGAAGGTGCTTTAGACTCCAGGTGAATGGCTTCTTAGGCCCTCTGCTCTTGTTTGGTCACAAAAAAACTAGATTGCAAAAGCACGATCAGAGGTCAAGAATCTCCCCAGGTGCTATGTGTGAATTTACATGATGCATAAAGTGTGGGCAACAGCGGTGGAAAGCTAAGTGGAAGATTGTGATGAAATAGTGTGATAGTTACACTTGGATGGCAAAAAGATGGGGAAAATATACCACTTAGTTGAAGGAGTAGGGTGGTAGTTTTTGTTGATGTGCCATTTGAATGTAAAACCCGTAACACAAAGGAAGCAAGCTGCCTTTAGACTGCATTTAACTGCTCTTGATGACTCCAGTTGTGTGTAAATATTAGAAAACAGCAGGGTCCTACATTCCAAGAATCACTTGAGCAGTGCCATGAAGACAAGTGTCCTTACTGGCATTGTAGTCATACTCCCAAGCTCTCCTGCTGTTTCTAATCTGTGCGCACAGCCGTGAAAAAACTGGACTGACATTTACAGGCACAGCAGGGAGACACTTGAGTAGGGAATGTTAAAGACTCCACTACCTACGTTTCAAAGTGGCCACCATACATGATAAATCTTCACAGGAGAACTAGTCTGCACTTCAACTGATGGTGTAATGAGGATATCGATAATGAAGCGGAGAACTCTTCTTTTAGTGCTGAACATTTAGCAGACAGATCGTTGGGGTTTTTTTTTTTTTTTTTGTAATGTAAAATATCTGGAGGGAGAATCTAATTTGGGATGGATGCAGGATTTTTTTAGATGGTGCTAGCTTGATGGTCTTACCTTTTCCTGGTTGTTTTACAGGAATATTTCCCAGTAAGGTCAGACATCCCAGAATGAAATAATTCCTGGAATCTGCTGGTATGTAAAAAAGGGTCAGTTGCTTTCGTGAGTAGAGTTTGACAGACTTTACTCACTGTTTTGTCCCAGTGAGCTGCCAGATTTGGGATGCCATAATACCAGTAATGCAATTAGGTTTTCTGCACATTGTCTGGTTGACTTCTCAGTTAAGAGTTTCTTTCCCTTTGGGAATAAGACTAGACAGACTGTCATTTGCTATTACTAATTCTGCTTAGCATTATCACTGGAGCTTTTTTTTGTAATTAGCTATCTTAGTTGGCTCTTAAATTTTAATAGCCAATTGAAGCTACGTTTTAGCCAAGTTCCATATCTAAATTGCATTCAGTCCATTAACAAAGTTGGTTAAAAGGCTATTAAAACAAAAGCCAATATATGGTGGTTAGCACTTACATGTTTGCAGTAGAAGCAATGCCAGCTTTCAATGAATTTTCTGAAGAAACATGTACTTCCTTCTAGTGAGGAAAATGCACAAAGAATGACCAAACTTAGTTTTGGAAACAAAGGCTAATTTTACAAACTACTTTTGAGTCTCTTTCCCCCCCCCCCCCCCCCCCAAAAGGGCGTTTTTATCTTGGGTGGAGCGGGTATTCAGGGGGGGTAGTTAATGGTCCTGCTTAGATTTGACAGGTTTTTTTTGAAAAGCCAAATAAATGAAATGTTTTTTGCCCCCCCATTTCAGCTGATCAAAATTATTAGCAAAACCATCTGAAGCACCTTCTGGTAGAATTGTAAGCTTGCTGAGTTTAGTTTGTAAAACATCCTGCCAGACATTAAAAAAAACTGTAGGCATGCCAGCACATAGGCTCAGAGTGTCACTTCTCTAATTGAGAGACCCTATTATATTTTTTTTATTCTGAAGACCTTTGCTGGATACCTTACCTCCCTTAGCAATTTAATGTAGCATGTTTCTAGATTTTTATCCATTGTAGCAGTAGTTTAAATTAAAGAAGATTTTGCTTTTTCGAGTTTATAACTTGCAATTAGAACATGGTAGGAGATGAACAGCTTTTGGTTCATTTCGTAACAAGTAACTGTTTTCTTGGCCTTTACCACTAAAAAAAAAAGTGGAAGGATGGTTGGGCTAGTGTGAAATTAAGGCCTTAGTCCCCAGTTAGTTTACCAGTTACTGGCACAGTTGTCTCAAAATATGATTTGACCACACTGTGCATGGATAATGCTAGGTTATTAACCATGATATTTAAGTTTTGCTTTTGCCAAAGGTTGTGTTTCATTGGCACAGTATTTGTGTTTTTGCAGTGTGAGCAGAACCCCCTAACTCTTCTTTGAGTGTTTGCTCATGTCCATTATAGTGTAGGTGTGTGCCCGCCATGTGCACTGCCGCCGGAAAGTTTTTCCCTCAGTGGTATCCATCGGGTCAGCTCTGGTGTCCCTTGGAGATGCCCCCTCGTGGCACTGTATACGGGGCCTTCCACCCCACCACCCCCATTCCCATGTAACCATTTTGGCTGATTCTTCAATCTGCTATGGTTCCTTTCAACTGCTGTGGTGCTCAAAGGGGCACATTAACTAGCCCTCTGTGGAGGAATCCTGGCTGGCTCTGCTGCCTCTGGACCACCTTGTCTCTCCGACACCAGAATAGGTGGCATGGCTGGATCCCTCGTTCACCAGCAATCCCTGGCTGCTAGAAGTGGTCCCTGGGAACCATATGCAGATGAGCACAACTTCTCATGCTACTCATCTATCCTCCTTGATGTGTTCCAGGTTGGACTTTCTCTCTCCGCAATTGAAGGTTTCTCATATGATGGAGTCTATGAATTCACCCTTTTGCTTCATTTTTGTCCTTTGATTTATTGCAAAATGCCACCACTATGATAATGCATTTATTTATTTTACCTGATGAGAGGTGCTAAAAAGGAATTGCACCTTCACTGTGAACTGAACTGAGCTATGCCAGGATGTGAGGTATGCTGATGTCCCTTCAGAAAAAACAAAAACTTCCAGCGGATGCTACTGAACAGGTGAGGGTTTTCTCTGTTCATTTTACAACTTGTTAAGTTTGACGTCACCAGCTATGCAACCACAACTGTGCTCCTTTCTTGTTGCCCATTTATTACCCTGCCTCCACCAAGAACTGTCCCCTTTCACATGGAAACAGTTCATACCCATGCAGTTCCATCAACCCAAATGTTTAAACTTTTTATGGAAACAACACATTAAGGCTTATAGCCAACATACAAAAAATAATGTAAGTAATTTCAAAATGGATAACAGGTTCCACAAATTCCAAAGCCACTGGAAAAGTGAAACAAAAAGCCCTGAATTTTTGCCTTAACCTTCCAGGAAATTGTGGAACACACTATGCAAGCCTTGAGCACTCTAATGGGTGCTCCAGGTGGACTCTGGCATATAGAGAGA